CATATGCTAATGCTTTATGATAATGATATTCCATAAATGGAAATGCCAATGCAAATGCTAGAGCGCGAAGAATGCAAGAGCTGAAGAAAGTATGATATGATTCTTGACATGCATATGATGCAAGATGCTTATGAAGCCGAATGCGATGCGTATGATGCATATGATTGCAGATGGGTGATTGAGAATTTGGTGATACCCCAATCAAATATCGAGCTTCAAAAAGTACTTTGCACCATATAATTCATCCAAAACCTCATTAAATGTAGGTAAAGGAAAGTTGTCCTTAATAGTAACCAAATTCAGAGCATGGTAGTTAGTACAAAACCTTCATGTACCATATTTTTCTTAACCAAAATGATAGGAGAAGAAAAAAGGATTGTGCTCTGCTGAATTATACCTTGTTGTAACATATCAATAACCATCTTTCTAATTTATTTCTTTTTACTGTGAGGTTAGTGGTGTAACACCCCAGTTTTTAAATTAATTATTTTAATCTAGCTAAATGCTTTATTCTTAATTTTATTAAATGTTAGAATGACTTACTTGATTTACTGGTGATGTTGAAAATTATTGGGATTTATGAAATTAGTTAATTAATTAGAAAAATATGAGAACTGAGGTTTTGGGAGAAAAATAACATTATAAGGAAATTGTTGGGGTAAAGAGTGATTTACCAATTCAGTGGAGGAGGAAAAGGAGGTTAGAAGAGTAGTACATGTAAAAGTGGAAAAGAGACAAAAGTGGAAAAAGGGCAAGATCACTAGTTAGGAATGGAGTTTCCATTGCTTTTAGGCATGACAACGGAGCAGGTCGGAGACAGTTTTTACCTCCCCAAACCCAAACCAGAATCTCAAAACAATCCTCGTTCCCCACCCCAAATCCTATCGGGGATTGAGAATTAAAACTCAAACCCGTCCAAACGGATTCAATTTGGATTCGGGTATCCCTGCCCCACCGCCATCTATTTAATAAAATCATTTTTTTTAATAAAAATAATTATTTTTTCAAAATAAAATTACATGACAAATAATAAAATAAAAATATCTCAAAAAATTTCATGCATACATTTCAAATATTTTAAGCAATAAATACAAATAAAACAATCAAAACATTAACCACATATTTAATATTTTAAATCATCAAAACTAAAATAATAAAGCACATAATAAAATAAACAGGGCAGGTTCGGGGTGGGTACTTGTTAGAGGTGGCAAAACGAATCGTGGCACGCCGACTCGGCCCGTGCATCCGCCAAAAAATAGCGGGTTGGGTTAGAATTTTGGGCTCGCCGCCCAATAAAGCTCGCCCCGCTAAAGTCCACCAAAGCCCGCCCCGCCAAAACCCGTTGTCCGCGAAAACTTGCTGCACCTATTCGTTCAGTTTGTCTCACCTTAAACCCGCCCCTTTTTTTAGTTAATTTTAGTAATTTCAACTCTTGATGGTTTTATTTTATACATTTATTTGAGAATATATTTCAAATTTTTTGAAGTAAAATTTGTTTAAAAGATGCTTTATAAAAATTGTTCTAAAAAATAAGTGAAAAATCTAATTGAAATGTAAAAACAAGTCTATTAATCTATTAAAAAAATGAAAACACAAAAAATAAAAAAGTAGGCGGGCAAGCCTGTCGCCCGTCAAACCGCCACCTTGGCGGGGCGAGCTAAATTTTTATGCTCATTCCCACTTGACGGGCTTACCTATCCCGCCTTTTTTTGGCGGGCTTAAGACGGGGTGGGGCGGGCGACCCATTTTGCTACCCCTAGTACTAGTGTCCCCATTATCCAACCCATCCCATCCCAAAATTTTATAATTGGAGAAAACCTAAATATGAATCCAAATCCAATCAAAACAGAGTTTCCTCATCAAATTCGAGGCGGGTTTGGATGGGTACCACCAATAGGTATGGATTATGTCGTCAATCCTAATTAATATAGATTCAGATTTTTGTTGAAAAATTAAGGTAAGGGGATTACTCATTTATGGGTGTAAATTGTATGAAAGGTAGAGATGGGTCCTCAAACTCTTCATTGTGTTCTATTATGTTTTCTCTATTGTTGAGTTTTTTGTATCATGGAGAAGGTTGATGTAGAAACCTATCTCAGTTGTTGTGATGAATAGAATTTCGCGCTCTGATTTTATTATTGAAATTCGTGTACAATTGCATGTGTAATCTGAATTGTTGATGTCCATATTGAGAGGTGTTAATATGATGAATTAGGGTCGGCCCAACAGACATCGAGGCCTAAGGTGAATTTTAAAATGAGGCCTTTTTAGGTTAATAGTATTTTTCATTTAAAATTTTATTTTGCGAGCTTTTTGAGATGCAAAATCATTTATTAAATTATTGTAATTTATTTCATTTAACATTTCTTTTTCAATTGATAATAAAGTCAATCCATTCAATCTTTGTTGAGACATTGTTGATCTTAAATAAGATTTTATTAACTTTAACTTTGAAAAACTTCTCTCGGTCGATGCAACAGTTATAAGAATTGTTAACAATATTCTATAAGCAATATACACATTTAGAAAAGAATCGAGTCTCTTTATATAATTAAATATATCAATTGATGTATTATTTTCTACTTTAATTATTTCTTTTAAAACTTGTAGTTCCATAAATAAATCTAATCCATCAAAATCTATTTTGTCATTATGTTTTAATGAACATTCAAGGTTAATACACTTCTTTTTTAAATTTTCAACTTTAATGGATTTTAACATCTCAATACTAAATAAAAAACCAAAAATATTATTATATATTTTTAATTGTTCAAATCTACTTTGAAATGAAGTGAGTGCTTGATCTATTATATATAAAAAGTAATCAGTTTTAAATGACTCTTTAGGGGATTTTATAACTTCATTGTCAATAATCTCATCAAATTGTTTCTTTCTGCGAATAATACGTTTTTTAAGAAATTTTGGTTTTATATTCATTTCAAAAGCAATTTCTTTTGCAGAAATCATAGCATTTTCAAATTCATTTTTCCTATATTTTTCTAAAAATAAAATAAGACCTTTCAATTGTTTTATAGCAATATCAATACACATATCTTTTGAGTGCATATTTTTACTAATAGAGTTTACTGCAAATAATACATGATACCAAATAATTATGCCTATTTAAAATTTAAAAATTTAAACTCATAAGTTGTTAAATGTTCACCTTTGCTTTTTATTTTAGATTCATCGGTAATTTCATATAATTTCAACAAAGTATCTCTTATTTGTAAAGTTTGAAATCTCAAAGCTTTCACACATTCAATGCGACTTTCCCAACGCATTTGTGACAATGATTTAAGTGTTAGACTAGGAATATGATCTTAAAATTTTTTCTATCTTTTAGTAGAAGAAGAAAATAGTGTGCATATACGTTGTAGCATTCCAAAAAAAGATGTAGTTTTAGGACAACAATTAGCCATATCACAAAGTAATAAATTTAAACTATGACAACCACATGGAGTATAAAATAATCTTGGATTAATATCTAAAAATATTTTTTGCACTCATTGATATTTTCCTTTCATATTAGACCCATTATCATAACCTTTTTCTCTTAAGTTACTAATATCAAGTCCAATAATATTTATCTCATTTACAATTGCATCAAAAAGACATTTTCCAGTTGTATCATTTACTTCTAAAAATTCTACAAAATGTTCATAAATTTGTATTGGACTAGAAGAAATATCAACACATCGTAAGACAAAAGTCATTTGCTCTTGATGACTTATATTAGGAGTGCAGTCAAGTATAATTGAAAAATACTTTGCATTTTTAACTTTTTGAATAATTTTTGTTTTGATTTCATTTGCCATCAAACTTATTAATTCATTTTGTATCTTATGCCCAAGGTAATGATGATTATGAATTTTTTTATCTTTAATTCGATGAATATGTTCTTGCATTATAGGATCAAATTCAGCAATCATTGCAACAAGACTTAAGAAATTTCCATTATGTTCGGTTGGAATAATATAACAAGTGTGAGTAGTATATGAATAATAGTCTCACATTGGATAGGAATGTGGTGACTTGCATTTATAAGTGGAAAAACTCATACATCTATCACCTTAAGGTTTTAGGTGAATATGTGGTGTCTCTCTCATTTGTGTTGAACTAATATAACAAGTGTGAGTAGTATATGGATTGGTAAATCTTTTCATTTGTTTCGCGAAAGGCTAAGTTGTTTTTTCCTAGAATTTTAACAACTGCAATTACTTCCATACTATTTTTCATTTGTAAATTTCTATGCCTTATTTTTTTTCCACATGATGTATATTTCTGGATGCTTCAACCTTCACAACACATTTTGTATAAATGTCAATCAATACTACTATATTAATCAACACCTTATGTAATCTTAATTGTATCAATATATTTTTTATTTGAATTTTTCATAAGTCAAAAATGATTCTTCCATCCATTTTTTCTAATCCAAATTGCACAACAGAGTTTGTGACTACAACTTAACAACAACATTCTTCTTTTCTTTTTTTATAATGTGAAAAGATCATATAATGTGCAACCACTAAACATACTCAGAAATCATACCTTAACCGAACCAGAAGCATTGCTATCAGTTTTTGAGAAAAATCGTCATAAAGAAAATAAAAAATTCAATCACAACACGAAATATGATGCAGAAAACCCAAAACCAAAGAAATAACTATGATTGTGGTCAAATGACAAATAAAGATTAATGTAGATGATATTTTGTTGTAGTACTTCTCTTTTATTATTTATTATTACTTTACTCTTTTGTTGACAACATTACCATTTCATTAAATTAAATTAGTTGTTTCATATTCAATTTTTGTGTTGTTAATTTATAATACTTTCTTTTTAATTACATTCTCTCTCGTTTAACTCTTATACATATATTTATCAAAGTTAGATATATATTTACAAATTTATTTACCCGTGCGGATGCACGGGTTTTCTACTAGTTAAATAAGTGAAATAATACATTAGAAAGATTATAACTCAACCATATGTCACAACCCCCTCATTGCTTCCAACACCCTCCACACATCAGAACAAAGCTCTGGCCTATTCTTTCTATTCATATCACAACATTTCAAAGCCAAATGAACCAACTTTTCACCTTCCACAATAGGCCAATCTCCAGCCAAAGGATCCAACAATGACTTCACTTCTCCACCATTTAAACCATACAACACTTCATTCTTTATTCCTAAGGCTGTTTTCCCAGTTACCAACATCAACAACAAAATTCCAAATGAATAAACATCTGACTTTGTAGTAAGTTCACCTGTTGCAAAGAATTCAGGATCCATGTATGCAAATGTTCCCTTTGCAAAACTAGTGATCCAAAACTGTGTACTATTGGTATTGTTACTCGAAGAATCGTCTTGACGCGATAGTATACGACTGATTCCGAAGTCGCTGAGCTTGCTTACTAGGTTTGCATCAAGGAGAATGTTGGAAGGTTTTAAGTCACCATGCAGTATGCTGTGAGGTTTATTGGAATGGAGGAAAATTAGAGCGGAATGTAGTTCTGTCGCGATGCGAATTCGAGTCTTCCATGATAATGGAGGGGTGGTTTTGTCTTTGCAGATGAGATGATCTTCAAGGCTTCCATTTGGTAAATACTCATAGATAAGAGTTCTTGATTCTTGGTTCACTCCAATAAGTGTTATAAGATTCGGATGCCTTAACTTGCTCAATACGTTAATCTGATATAAAAGAATTTATAAAAACAACTTATGACATAGTTTATAAAAACGTCAAACAAGCTCAGATAGTTTATGAAAACATCGAGCAAACTCAAACTATCGTTACCTCTTGTTGAAACTCGGACGGTCCTTGATTGCTGTTGGGACTTAAAATTTTTATAGCTACCTCGGTGTGACGAAGGATACCTTTAAATATACTTCCGTAACCACCTTCACCGATCTTTAAGGACGGATTGAAGTTACAAGTTGCTTCTTCAATTTCTGATAAAGAAAACTCATTGAAAAGTTGAAGAGATTGTGTTCTTGAGTCTTCATCAATTTGATTCTCTGTTGATGACTTGTGATCCAAGGCAAGTTGGAGATTTTCATTGACTTTGTCTATTTGGCTTCTCATGTTGTGAATTTCTTCTTTTGCTTTATGTAGTTCTTCCTCTAACTCTTTCCTTAGTTTCATCTCTTCTTGATACAAGATATTGTTGTCATTAGTCTGTTTATTTCAACAACTAAAAGTAAATAAATCGTGACGGAAAAAATGAAATCTCTTTGCAATTTACTCATTTTTTGTCGAGTTTCTAGAAAAAAAATGAAAATTTCTCTAGAAACTCGACAAAAAATGACCACAACTACCTTGCGTATTGCATCAATGAGATCCTTTTCAGCTTTGCGACGCCTAACCGTTTCTCGATATGCATCCCATCTAGCCTTCTCAGCCTCAGCCATAGCCTGTACAAGCTGATCATAAACACTATCCATTCCTCCATCCTGCTAGTGTCCAAAAGAAAGAAAAAAAAAGTAAAAGCCAATAACAAACATGCACATGCACATGCACATGCATGATGCACCATAAGAGAAACAAACATTGTTACCAGCACACTAGGAGGTGATGAGTGATGAAGGTCTTCCTCTTTAATACTTGATAAGGAACTCATTTTCAAGTCCAACACACTCTCACTTCCATCACTTGGAATCAATGATGTTTCAACTGATAAAGGTGAAGGACACCAACTTGTTTCTGGAGAAGATACACATGATACCATGCTTCTTCCACTTCCAACAGAAGAGCTTATAGATCTTACTCTATGATGCTGAGATAACTGATCTTGATCATGTGAAACTGATCTAGATCTCAAGTGAGATGAGTTACCAACTTCAGAGTTTTGTATTTGCTCCATCAAACTGCAATCCCTGAGTGCATGAGTATTCCTAGGAAACAACAAAGCTTTAAGCTAACTCCAACAAAAATTACAATTAACCATTCATGATTTATTAACCACGGACACTGAAAACATAACACAGACACTAACATGACGGCTTAGGACACAGACACAGACACACCTTTTTTCATAAGTGTCTTACAGAGATCATGATGCAACATGCGTACCTTGTTTGTATAAGATATCCTTTGCAGATGAACTGTATATGACAAGAAGATGGAGCTTGTTGACATACATAGATGGCTTTCTTAGATCTGAGATCGGTCATTCTCCTTGAATGGTACTTATCAGAAGCTGCTCCCATAACAAGGTTTTGTATGTTATACTTGGAGATGAGTTCTATAATCCCTTTTTCAATGGAATCCATTTCAATATGAAGTTTTTCTGCTCTCACCTGTATCAGAAAGTTATAAGCCCAAACTCAAGTAAGTTTTGAAATGAATGAATGATGCAAACACATGGAAATTACCCCCATTCTTTGACATATAAGAAGGTAACCATCAAGAGTCTTGTGCATGTCTTGACGTTCATTTTTCCTGTATGCTTCAACTTCTTGCTTTCTCAGTGCACTTGCTGGAAATTTACCACCCACTATAGATAACCAAATTAACAAGATATTAATATAACTTTTTTTATAACAAATAAGGCCCATAGCAAAACAACCAAGAGCCATATCACGCGAAAGAGCGCATGGAGTAGGTGATTCCTCACGACCATCCACAAAACGCGTCATTTCAGATATTCAGCCACTCTTCGTCGCACCGAAAATTTACTCCACTGATCCAAGATCTCATGTCACCCTTTCACATTCATTTCTGATTCTCAAACGGAACAATAATATAGTAAAATAATAAAAAAAAACACTTACTCATAGGGATCTTAGGAGATGGTACATGCACATGAAGAATACAAATTCTCTTTCCTCCAGAATTTTGTATAGCCCAAACCATATTTAGTTTACTATCTCTCACATCTTTAGCCACAGCAACATAAATTGTATCACTAACCTCATTTGGTTTAACCTCTTTCACACTTTCTCTCCTTGTAGCCATCACAATATTATCACCAGATGAGTTCATAAACATGTTTGTCTCTAACTAGGTTCATAAAAAGTCATAAAAAGACGATATATCTATATATTATGAAAAAGTGATAAAGTTTTTATAGTATTCTATTCTGCAGGTGTTTATGTAAAGAGATATTTTATCTTCTTCTAATGGAATGAAAGGCAAGGAAAGTGGAAGAGTACAACTAGATAAGACACGGAACATAATCATTAAGAACTTATTGATTCTAGGAAATTACATGAACAACCTCGTGGGTCTTGTGGGCTCCATTTAAACCAGACTATGTGGCTGGTTTTTGTTCTTTATCGTTTCTTCTTGTCTCTTTTATCTCTTTGGTTTCTTGGCTAGAGTCACAAGAAGTTTCGAAGAAAGGGAGTTGCAGATAAGTGAGTCAAAGATAATTAAGTGAGATTCTTTTTGAGATTATTCTTAGTACGTAAATTTCTTGTCACGTGTGTTTTCATCTCAAAGTTAAAAAGTCAACTGCATTTTTTTGTTTATTTTCAAATCATTTAAGTTTTGATAATATTTGATTTGATGTAATTGTGACGCAAGTATGAAAAATTGTAAATGTGATGTTAAAGTAGATGCCGAGATATTTCTTCTATGGGAAAGGAAAAAATCAGATTCTGCCATTCCTTCTAGACTATTTTTTAATGCTAATTCTTAGATATAATAGATATAATAAGTAGTTGAATATTAATACCTTTTGATCTCACCTGATTAAAAATGATCAATGGTCTGCCACGCGTTGTTGGATTACAGTTTTTAGACGAGTTAGAAAGAAAAAGGAGGGTGTACCTGCAAGGCACTCCGATGCTCAAGTGAGTAAAGAATCAGAGTGGAAGAGCAAATACAGAGAAATGGGTGTAGAGAATAAGATATCTGACCCTCGAGTGAAAGATGGTATTTATAGAGAGATCTCAGCGCAGAGTCAACGGTTACATTGCATTGGGTCAGACTGCTAGGCCCAACCCAAGTAACTGCCGGAGCTTACGTGGCGTAGTGAAGTCCAGCACGTGGTCTTCGCCCTAGATTAACTGTCCCGTGATCTTCGAAAGGTGGGCTGACCAACTCTTTCGGAGGTGGGTAGTTGTCTGATGACGTGCCCCCGCGTGGGGGGAGCACGTGAAGAACGTGGAAGAAACGTGTGAGTCTCCCTGTCAAAGGAGTCGTCTGCCCGACATATATGGATCGTGCCTGACATGGGAGGATTGAGCCTTATTGGGTCTCCCCAACACAGTGTTTGGTTGGGCCTGCCCGACTGAAGGGCAGGACCAGACCCAGTCCAGAACACCTTTAATAAAAATTTATTTAAAAAATTAATTTACTTTTAAATAAAAATACAACTTTTTATTATTAAATTTAATTTATATTTTATTTTTTTCTTTATCCACCGTTAGATTATAGCAAAATGAGGCGAAATAATAAATTAGAGTGGATTTAATCTAAAAAAGTTATAAAATGAAAACTAAAAGACAAAACAAAGAAATAAAAAAAATAAAAAAAAGCATTGTTATAAAATGGAAACTATTCTGGATTGGGCCTGAGGCTGATCCACCGTTGGGCACAACTCCGCGTCAGGTAAGGTCCAACACAAAGGTCCAATCTGCTATCACCGTGGGAGAAAACATTCTTCATACAACCTCCCCACATTCTCCACGTACTCCCTACGCAGGAACATGTCATCAACAAACTACCCACGTCCGAGAGAACAGATCATTCACTCTCCGGAGTTCGTAAGGCAGTTGACTCAAGATGAAGACCACATACAGGACTTCCCTACTTCCACGCAGGATCCTGACAGTCATATGTTATGGGCCTTGCGATCCAGCCAAAAGCAGATGACCGTTGGACCAGCGCTGGAGGCACATTATAAATACCCTCCTCCATAGGGGGGTTAGGTATTCTAAACTCACTCACTTTTGGTACTTGCTATCTCTTTCGTTCTGAGCCTCGCTTTGGCATCAAAGTGCCTTGCAGATACACCCCCTCCTCTTTTCTACCACTGGCGAATTTGGAGCTCACGACGTGTTGCTGGCCGCTGATCCTCTTTCTGATCCAGTAAGATCAGTGGCATCGTCTGTGGTAACCTTTTTCTCCCCCGTCTTTTCTTTCTTCGAAATCAAAGGAATAAATCAAACCTTCAACCTCCTTCGATCATGGCCAGTAAACACACTGACGATAATATCCATGAAGCTGCCTTCACCACCTTCATTGATGAAAACGACCACGACAACAATGTGACCGCCCCTGCTGAAGAGGTTACCCTGGGGATAGACTCACCGCCTCTCCCTCCCCCGACAATGCGGCATGCAACACCGCCCAGTGTTTCGAGGGTTTAACGGTTTTCCAACCAATTCCTGTACCGTCCAACGTTGATCCTACCATGATGGCCTTGGAGAAAATCAACCAGACGAACCTGATAATTTTCCAGCAGAATAAACAGATTGGAATGTTGGAGAAAGAACGACAATCGCGCTCTCCCCTACGGAGACATCGGCACCCAGTTTCTCGTAGGCCGTTTCTGCGACGACGAAAAACCTGTCCAGACTATCCCCTACGGAGACACCAACGAGACGAATATCAAAGCCTTTCACGGCAAGGAACGACGCTCCACGGCTCCCAAAATGAGCAAAGTCGGCGAGCAGTTGGAGAAACGAAAGGGTCAACCAAGGAATTCACCGCGCCGCGGAAGAATCCCACAGCGCGACTGCTCCCTGTCACGCTCAATAGTCTGAAGCAACGAAGACGACCCCCATGGTCCATTGTCCCGGGAAATCATGGAGACCCCCATTCTCATCGGGATGGAAAAGCCACCAAGTATGGCAATCTACGATGGCACGACGGACCCAGACAATCACATTGAGAGCATCAATGTGATTCTCAACTACTGCAACATTCAGAGTGCCATCAAGTGCAGACTCTTCCCCACGATTCTGAGGAAAGGTGCCATGGTGTGGTACAAAAGCCTCGCCTCGGAGTCCATCACCTGCTGGAAGGACTTGAAGACATAGTTCACCAGGCATTTCACCGCCTTCTAACGACACCTGAAATCTGAGGCGTCGCTTGAGGCCATCATTCAGGGTAAGGATGGGTATCTCTAGGCCTACATCGAAAGGTTCAACTGAGAAGCCGTTCAGATCTCCATGACTGGCTAGATGAAAAGATACTTGTTCGAGCGAGGGTTGCATCCCCACATCGACTTCGCCAAAGCAGTAAACATTGAGAAGCCTCACTCGGTGTACGCCCTTCTCCTCAAAGCCCAAGCATACATCCAGTACGAGGAGAGAGCGAGGCCACCAATAATGCCTGCGACTCACGAAACCATAAGGGTACCGAAGTTGCGAAGTATGACGCCACCGTGGCACCCCGACGTGGCAGGGAGAAAAGAAGAGAAGATAAGCCCCGCGAATCTCGTGGACCAGCAGGCCGCTTCTTCGAGTACACACTGTTGACCGCATCCTGGCTAAGTATATAAACTCGGATTTCCAACAAGGTGGGGTCCCTTTTCCCAGGCTAATGCCCCCTAAGCACAATGTCGACAAATTCAAGTACTGTCGTTTCCATAGGAGCCACAGGCACGTCACCGAGGATTGCATTCACCTCAAAGATGCAATTGAAATCCTCATCAAGGAGGGATACCTGAAGCAGTACACTAAGAGGAGCAAGGCTACTCGACAGGATGTTCGCGAGGCAAAGAAGGTCGAGGAGGAGACACCTCCCTCGAACAACACCAACCTATCAGTCGTCGTCTGCATATCTCATCCTGAGGACTTCTACATCCCTAACACGGCTGACACACCCCTATCTGCTCGCAGCACCTGCAAGAACTTCCCTTCCACTATGGTCATATCTGGTGGAGGATTCAACAAGCTCACCATGGGGTTGCTGAAAAGAAAGTTCGATGAGCTAATCGATGCAAGCTCCAACCAGAATGCAACCCTCGACGGGTTCTAGGGGAAATTAAATCCCATCACCTTTTACCTCGAGGAGTTGTCTGGAGGCGCTTCTAACTCCAGCATTACTTTGCTCGTTAGGGCGCAGATGGAAAACTTCGACGTCTGCCGCATCTTGGTCGACCAAGGGAGCTCCGTCGACATAATGTATACTCATTTGTTTACCACTCTCCAGCTCGACAAAAGCCATTTGACACAGTACGTAGGCTCCGATCTACAGGGCTTCAATGTCACAACTACTAAGCCTTGGGGCTATGTCGAGTTGCTCATCACTTTCGGCATCGAGGAAACTGCCAGACATGTCAAGGTCCGCTTCTTGGTCATAGAGTGTCAATCTCTATATTAGTGCATTCTAGGAAGACAAACTTTGGCTGAGCTTACTGCCGTGCCATCCACAGTCCACTTGAAGATGAAGTATTATACGCCCAGAAGACGCGTCGTCACTCTTCACGGGGATATTGAGACCGTGAAAAGATGCTTCGAAGCAACAACAAAGAGGCTGAACTTGACCAACATGCCGCCCAAGACTGCCAGTAAGCCAACCCGGTCCAAGGAGTAGAGTGTAACACCCCAAAATTTGCCCTATTTTTTCTTAACCTTTTGTCTTATGTTTCATTTTATTTGCATCATCATTTGTGTATCGCATTGGTCTTCTAAGACATGGGATCAAAAGTTTCTCTGAGTCAGGGCTTCATACTTGTCTTGAGATACTTTCATTCACGTTTGGCAGAGGGTATAATTCTTATTATTGTAATTTCACATCAAAGATCATCAAATATCAAGTTTTCTCAAAGGCATCAAGAGCCTAGAGTTTCATCTTTCCGTTGATTCATGTTTGTTGGCAAGCTTATGTTCAATTGGTGCAAGGTTAAGAATCAGGGTTATCAGGGACAATGGTATAGTTTCAAGTCAGGTGTGGTTATTCAGTTACGATTAAGATTAGATAGAAGTTTGACCTAATCTTGGTCAAACCATCAAGAGACTGCTTCTTTTTCAAGTTACCTGCATCAGTGTCAATTTGTCTTATACAGATTTATTCAGGTTATCAAGCAGGGGATC